TATAGTCATCTGACCCTACACTACAATATAGTCCCATATAGTCATCTGACTCTCTACTACAATATAGTCCCATATAGTCATCTGCGACTTTCAACCATATTGACTGATGGAGTTCTCACTCACAAACACTGAAGCGCGTACACACGTGCTATTTTTGTTTCAGGTTTATGTTTAGTTCTGTCCTTGATGATAATTCATGGACTGCCTTCGGGGCTTCTGGGGAGTTTTTTGTACTTATCAAAAATCACAATATAATAATAATAAGTATGCACTTATATAGCGCCATATATCCAAAATAAATGTTCATAGGCGCTTTACAAGACAAAAATAAAAAAAAAATATTAAATCATGAATAAAACATTAATAGCAACAACAAAGAAAAACTACTGAGTTTCAAAAGTCTGTTTAAAAAGATGAGTTTTAAGTTTCTTCTTAAAAATGTCAATATTGCCAGATAGTTTGATATGTAGAGGTAGTTCATTCCATAAGGCAGGTGCAGCATGGCAGATGGCGCGTTGACCGTAAGATTTAGTATTAATTTTCGGAACGTTTAGGAGAAAATTATTAGTGGAGCGTAGACTGCGGGTAGGTTTGTAAGATGCAAACAGTTCACAAATGTATGATGGTAGGGTGTTGTGAATTGCACGAAAGGCGATTAACATGATCTTGAAATAAGTTGTAAAGAACTTCAGTGATATGGTCAAATTTCTTGGTCCTTGTGATGAGGCGTGCCGCAGTATTTTGAACGAGTTGGAGCTTACGAATGTTCGTCTGGGCAATGCCGAAGAGGAGACTGTTTCCATGGTCAATCCTTGATGTAACAAATGAATGTACTAAATGTTTTGTGGTTACATTAGTTAGGTACTTCCTGATGGAACTAATATTGCGTATATGAAAGTATGATGATTTACAAATACTATTCACACGATTTTCCATGGTCATATGCTTGTCGAACTCAATGCCAAGATCACGAGCCTATAACCCTATATAGTCATCTGACCATACACTACAGTATATACATCTACCTGGAATTCGTACTGACCAATCATGTTCTACCTGGAATTCGTACTGACCAATCATGTTCTATCTGGAATTCGTACTGACCAATCATGTTCTACCTGGAATTCGTACTGACCAATCATGTTCTACCTGGAATTCGTACTGACCAATCATGTTCTACCTGGAATTCGTACTGGCCAATCATGTTAAACTGATTGTGATGGTATCAATGTGTACATGTGCAAACGTCATAAAGAGTCTCAATCAACAGAATTGACAGTTTTAATCTGAGCGTATGGAATATCACGCATGTCAAGTATAAAGTGTTCCAACTTCAACCAAGAGGGCGTGTGTATGTGTTTTGTTCCCAATATGCTATTAGTTCACGGGTGTATCAGTGCATCTAGTTGCAAAACAAACGAAACCTTTGAATTTTGTATTATATGATTTAAATATGACAATATACATTTAACAACTAAACGAACCATGACTGGCGAAGATGGCAGAATGTGACAAGAAGACAATTTCAAATTAAATGGTGAACTAATTGAACAATTTTACTATAACATTGTTCATCGATTCAGTCTTTGGATGGGGAGCTAACAAGTTTAACAAATAATTGATGAAAACTAATGGGGGGTTACATCACAACATAAATATGTTAATTAGTCATACCTGCCATAACTCAAAAATGTTCAACTAATTTATTAATTTGTTTGAAACACGCGACTGTGTGCGTGTGATTTGATTATGTCTGTTGTACACGGGAGGTGAATGGTAATGTAATTTGTGGGATGTCACGTAAAATTTGTGTTGTACCTGGCCTTTCTGACGTCGGAATAGTTCATTACATTGGCATAATGCCATTTTGATAGAAAGTCACATCACGTAGTCCCTAACATGGGATATGGATTCTGTGTCATAAATGTCAACACTCGCACGAGCAGCTTGAATAAAACATTTAGGAGAGACAATTATACAAATCGATACAATTCTGTAAATTCGATATTAATGATAACAAACTGCTGCCGTACATATGTAAAATGACTCGTATTCGTGGTTGCACGTAACACTAATCTCCTGATCTTAAACGTAAATACATCTGTACATTCTACTTTAATACATAATAGAATAAGTCGAAAAACAAACTTTGTCTACATGAGTGTGTACAACTAATGGTCCACTGCAAGGCGATCGTATAGAATGTTCTTGTTCTGAGCAAAACGAACGAGTTTTAACAATTGAACAATAAACTTTTCGCTTGAGGATCCTTTGATGCACTAGCAGTATCTGTAGTCTTGGAATAAAGGGGGGGATTCCAATTCGCTAAAAATGTTGACATTTTATCAAGTTATTTGTCACAGTTGAAATTAAAATGTGAATTAGTCTAAATCGTTTAGAGCTAGAGAGCAACGGAACTTATTTTCCCTCTCGTCATCGTGTCCATTCACAATACCATGGTTACGTAGATCAGGGAAAGGATGACGTCATGCGCACAAAACAAGTCTCGTGGCGGCTATATGCGTCTAAAGCCCATTAGCCGAGTGCATGGCAACCCGCATAGCAACCGCCTTTTGTAAAGGAAAATGATACGATTGCACGAAAAGTATCCTGGCAACTGGAGAACCCGAAATCCTTTTCAGAATAGTGTCACATTGAGCCGAACTGTTTTATTGTACTGCATTGTGGGTATTTTTCGGACGAGGTTTCGAGCAAAAACAAACACAGTTTGCTGTTGGGTGAATTCACATTTTAGTTTGTGCTTTATATGTTGCGATTTACTAAAACCTATCGACAAAACACGCGGTACAGGTCCACACATACCGTCATGTCACCGTAATTCCACAACATGCGATGAAATACACTAAGTCAAAAGATATCTCATGTGACGTGCTGATATTAATACCGTACGCTATTGTACCATGACCATCTGCTGCTACAGGATCACTATATCGCTTTGTGATAACCAGTTGGAGATAATCTGTGCGTTTTAACACTTACACCAAACATCCTTTATGTTAACCAATTGTATTTAATCTTTACGTATTACCTTTATACCATACAGATACAGATGTTCATTCGCATTCTTGGTTTAAATGTGTGTGGTGTGATTGGAGGTGTAACAGACTTTTTAAAAAATGGAATTTTATTCTATTTTGTCTTTGCAATATTACGTTTATCAGTGTAGGTTGTGTATCACATTCATGTAGGTATGTGACCTTTCAAGTTGCACTAAACAGTATGACTTAATAAACATGATTCATGTAGGGAGGATTACTTGAGATAAAAAAGGAAAGAAACTAGAATTTGAAAACTAAAGCTGAGTGTGAAACTATGATGAAACACACGACAACTCGGATCAGATTTATGCATGGAACAAAGTTTGGCTCAATATACCAAAGATAACCACCCCGCAGACAAATGATTCACTTAAATATATATATATATATATATATTTGAGTGCCGTTGGATATAAAATTGCAGCACCTGACTTCGACAATTTAAAATAGCATTTAATTAAAAAATAGAAAATATTTTTTCACTCAGGAAACAATAGATAGATCAGTTGATAGATAATGTGTACATGTTTAATGGGGATAGTTCGCGACGAATGCCGGAGATAATGTGTGGCGCTGTTTTGCGAAGACGAAACGAGAACTGACAAATGAACAACCAAACCAAAAAGAAAAACAATAGTACAGTGCCAGACGTTAGCTCAGTGAGCACCTTCTCCTGTTCACACCCTTACTCTCGTATATAAACATAAGCTAATTAAAACACTAAACTAATTAAAACCGATTATGTGGTGGCACATTGACAGTACCAATTCATATAGGGTCGCATTAGTCTTGCCCATAAATGCGAATTATGTTTTGTAGTTAGAAAAAGTGGACACATTTCATTCGCCCAGCTCCGCTATTGCGCTCAGTGTTATTGTTTGTAAACATTTTGATGCACAATGTATCCATATGTACACATGTAGTTTTTGACGTCTAGTTTTAGTTTCTATGGTCACATCTAGTTGTTGTGTAAGTACTATAAAAATGAATGCAAAGTTAAAAATTATTCTATTTATTATTGCATTACTAAAAATATCTTGTCTTGTTAAATTTTTATCAAACACTTATGAAAGATTGATTATGTACAACTTGAGTTTGCACATGTGCATATACATTTGTCATCGGAAGTTGTGGATGGGAAAATTGGAAATGATGGCTGTGTTTGATATACGAATACCGAAGCTCCATACTATACATAATGTGTCACACAATTCGAAACGATAGGTGTATGTGAGTGATACACCCACTGAAATTATGCTCCTAGAAAAATGTACACTGGATGAAACCTCTTTAAAAATATGAACGGGTCGGGGTTGTGCTAAATAATGGGTTTTCGGTTGATGTTTTGTTTTCAATTATTTTATTCTGCATATAAGGGTACAAGAGTTACAATATGTGTTTTGTGATCTGTACATTTCAACATACCATGGGAATTCAATAGACAATCACGTCAACGGCAATAGTGATTGGTGATTAAATGATCGAATGGGTTGGACATCAGAGTAGACGTTTCCGACAATGTGACACAGTGCAATCACTCTTAGCCGTAATATTTAAGAAGTTGAATAAACAAAAAACACTTACTTCCTGATGCGTCATTCAACCTAATATGGTAATGGCCATGTGTTACCATTATGACATTTGAAAAACTATAGATTAATATAGGAATTGTACATAAATGCAGAAAACTGTGACCAAATCAACAGACCTGCTTTGTTTTGTTTGTTTTTTTGTTTTTGTCATAAAATAAGTGTTGATACAAAAGATCGTCTTTGGTTGCCATGAAAGATAAAGCTGGTAGTCCAAGCATACGTATATGCTCAGAATAACAATAAGTGATTTAAATAATTATAAAATATCTATGATCACATGGACGAAGGTTGGTTCAATTCATGAAATTGGGCGATCTGCAAAAGTCAATCATTTTATTACCGGAGCAGTCAACCAATCAAGAACCTATAAAAAGTAATTAATATTAATTTGTTATTAAGTGTTATTTCATTTCATCACCAGTCGGCATCGGAAACCAGCAGCTCCAGCACCATGAGAAATTTCGCTTTCATTGCTGTAATTTTATTTGGCTTAACGGTAAGTGTAATTTAGAATTTTGAATAACCGTTGTGAATTATCAGAAGTGTTTCATTAATAGAAGTGGAGCCAAAACAAAGTCTTTTCACTTTTTCCACTTAATTTCATCTTTTGTGACTATGGAAATTATAAAGATAGTCGAACAAATGTGCAAATTGTTTTTTGTTTTTTTTCGCATAGTTTTGAGCGATATTCTTCCATGAATAAACAATGTGTGATTAGCCGTTAAGCGACAGTTATTCCGATATACATGCGTTGTGTATTGTCTCTCTGTGTTTAAACTTTAAGATCAAACCAATCATATCTTACATCTTGTAATACATCTAATTGAAATAATTAGAGTTATTTAATTAACCTTCAGAGTATGTATTTAGAATGATGGCATATCCAAGATGATACTCACGTTTCTAATCGTTATTTGTAGACTGAACAGTAATAGTGGGTATGTAATAACGCTATATGTGATATGCGATATCATAAAATGAAATATTTCAATCTAAACGTAACATTACAGTTACTTGTAGTAAACCACCACAATATATAATACATCACACAATGAAACGTGATGCTAGAAAATAAAAACCTTATCACTTTAGTTTAGTTTAGTCAGACGCTAGTCTGACGCCTTTTATTATGCCAAATATTGTTCTTATAAATTGCCGCACTTGTAAGGTAGAATAAAACGTCTATTTGAGTTTGTCAGTTTCTCGTCATTCACTTTATCTTATTTCATTTTCTATGTGTATACCGAACAGCAAAATCAATGCGTCCTGTGGTACTGTGTCCCGAGGTTTTCTTATGTTGATTTCAGAGTTTATCATCCATGAAAACGTAAATTCTATTACTTCTGGACACACCATATTAGTGTGCTATACACTTTTCAGCTGTTTATCTTACGCGCATTAACCCATTCTATTCTGTTACGGGAATCATAAGCAATAAATTAGCACTTCACGGGTATGCGTACGAGTGTGTTATGGATCTATTAGTAATATACCGACTCATGTCAGGATCATACCAGTATTATAGTGGGTTGTATATAATACACACGGCAAGTGACCGGTAAAAGGAATGGATACACACTGTATCTGCCAAAATGTACCAATCCGCCCAGACCCAAGACAGAATAAACAGGAATATTGCAATGCAGTCAACCCTCATATCAGCCATCATGCAACAGACCCATGCCCTTTGCTAAATTTATAGCTCATTTCTAAATTTCATAGGCGTGGCTCGTAAAATGAAAACGAAAGTACACATCATGGATACTGTTAAAACATAGAGGCCAGCATACAAAATTGGGTATATTTATATATATATATATATGCCAACAGAGAAACGGGTGGCAAGAGTTATTATTTTAGGCCAGTCAAGTGTTTTGCAGCAGTGTTAAATAGTCGGCTAAACCTGAGTCCAATTAAAAAATCGTCATGTTTATGAATGGAATATCGCAATATCAAGTTTGGAAGTTAAGAGAAATACTGCTATGATAAATACAATACTGGTAGAACAAATTATTTGAAGTTCACTTCCTCAATAATAATTTACTGCAAACATTTCCATATATCTATATGGCGTATTTCAGACCAATCTTTGTAACTTACACATATACCTGCAGCGTGTTAATGTAACATTAATTTCACTTGGGTGATTTTTGTCGGTATTTTAGGATTTGATACTGTGAGATTTGAATTCATAATTTCAAGCTATGTAATATCAAGCTATGTATGGTAAATGGATCATTGATCTTAGGTTTCCGTCACAAAAAATGTTCGCTTACGAGACTTATTTTTTTTTTTAATAACAAAACTTAGAACTTGAAGTAATATCTGTTCCTAGATTCGACAACTCGACATTATTGAAATGTTTAATATCTCCCATTATTGTACCAGGCATGTCTAATTAATGAATATGGAACAGAGTAAATATAATTTTGAATATATGTTTTTCAACACCATTATTATTATTATTATTATTATTATTATTATTATTATTATTATTAGTGTGTTTAAAAATTTTCAATTTAGCGGTGATACGTTTAACCTTTCCCCCATCCTTACCAATTATCAACCGTTTATGTCTAGACTCCCTAGGCTTTAAACGCCATTCCATTTATGGCCACCTGGGATGCCAAAGATGAAACACGCCTCTAACAATATCTTTTTTTCTTTTTCTTCCAGGTCGCTATTCCATTTATTGAAGGTGGGATAACAGTTGTTTATTATTTTCACTATACAAAACATCTCCACGCCATATTTGAGTCGGTTACACACTGACCTCTAACGCCCCGTCCTCCAATCATGTACCACGTTATGTAGAGTTATGAAACTCGGTTACACCATGAAGGTATTCTCTTTTTACCTCCATGGTTACACACAGACCTCTAACGCCCCGTCCTCCATTCATGTACCACGTTATGTAGAGTTATGTGACTCGATTACACACTGACCTCTAACGCCCCGTCCTCCAATCATGTACCACGTTATGTAGAGTTATGAAACTCGGTTACACACTGACCTCTAACGCCCCGTCCTCCAATCATGTACCACGTTATGTAGAGTTATGAAACTCGATTACACACTGACCTCTAACGCCCCGTCCTCCAATCATGTACTACGTTATGTAGAGTTATGAAACTCGGTTACACACTGACCTCTAACGCCCCGTCCTCCAATCATGTACCACGTTATGTAGAGTTATGAAACTCGGTTACACCATGGAGGTATTCTCTTTTTACCTCCATGGTTACACACAGACCTCTAACGCCCCGTCCTCCATTCATGTACCACGTTATGTAGAGTTATGTGACTCGATTACACACTGACCTCTAACGCCCCGTCCTCCAATCATGTACCACGTTATGTAGAGTTATGAAACTCGGTTACACACTGACCTCTAACGCCCGTCCTCTAATCATGTACTACGTTATGTAGAGTTATGAAATTCGGTTACACACTGACCTCTAACGCCCCGTCCTCCAATCATGTACCACGTTATGTAGAGTTATGACACTCGGTTACACACTGACCTCTAACGCCCCGTCCTCCAATCATGTACCACGTTATGTAGAGTTATGACACTCGGTTACACATTTAAACAAAGATGATTGTGTTAGTGGAGATTCATGGCAGTATCTAAGGAAAGATGGATCTTGATTGAGATTTTAGTGACAATGAAATATTGCTTCTCAAGTCAGGCAAAGCACCTGGTTCTGACATGATTCTAAATGAAATATTAAAAAGGGTGCACCCTTTTCATTAAATTGCATCACTAAAGTGTTCAACTTAGCCTTCATCGTGGAATTCTAATATTTATTGTGGTATAGCGTTGTCTAGTTGTTTGTCCAAGCTTTTTACAGCTGTCTTAAATAGAAGATTGACTAATTATTTATATCATAATAACCTAGAGGCTGATAAACAACTCGGTTTCAAAAAAAACATCGCAACACTGATTGTATTTACATTTTGAAGACTTTAATCTCTAAATATGTCAATAGCAAAAATAAGAACTTGGGTAACTATCTCTTTTCTTGTTTCTTTGACTTCTCCAATGCCTTGGATTCAGTTTGGCATGATTGCCTGTTATTCAAACTCTTTGAAATTGGGGATTTGGGACAAGTTTTATAAGGTTGTTAAGGCTATTTACAGCAATACTAAGTATAATATTAGATTGAAACAGGGAGTCACACCTTATTTCTCTTCTTACCGTGGTGTGAAACAGGGATGTAACCTCTGCCTTAGCCTATTTAACACTTACATAAATGGTATTTTTGAGAAGTGAATGGATTTGATCCAGTTTTTATGAATGATGTCAAATTTAATTGTATTTTATATGCTGATGATTTGTTATTACTGTCTACAAGTCAAGTGGGGTTGCAATACGGTATTAATGCTCTTGGTAATTATTGTCAAAAGTGGCAACTCAAAGTTAATGTTAAAAAGAGCAAAGTGATGATTTTCAATGGGTCAGGTAAAAATCTAAAGAATGAATGAATTATGTTGATAATTACAATTATCTTGGAAGTATTTTCAAGTCTAATCGTAAATTTAGTGCAGCCTTAGACTTCATGACAAGGCTAAAAAACACTGTTTTATATGGACAAAATGCTATGAGATTGTAATGAATGTTTTCCTGTGAGATTAGCTAACAAGCCTTTTGACTCTGTGGACAAACCCATGCTGTCAAAATTAGGAATGATAAATATGTTTATGAAAAGTATTCAAATGACATTACATATGAAAAACACAGGATTGCTCTGACAAGGTTAGGGTATCGGCACATCAGCACATTTCTTGCCAGTTGAATCTGGAAGACATTCAGGGAATAAGAGACAAGAAAAACTGTAGAATCCATGATTGTAAAAAGATTGGAGATCAAAAACATTACCTACTTCATTGTCAATATAACATTATCAAAGAATGTAGACAGAAATTTCTTTCAGCTCTCTTTATTTATGAACCACTTTTCAAAATTTGAGTATTCATGATTTATTCATTGAAATTCTCTCCAGCTGTGACAAGTTTATTCTTTCCAATTTTGCTTTGTTTGTTTTTTGTATTTTAGATCTGTTTTAGTCTTGTAGTAATAGTTTTTGCTCTTTTGGAATTACCTTATTTTTGTTTGTGTACGTTTCAAATAAAATATCATATCACTGACCTCTAACGTTCCATCCTCCAATCATTTCACACGTATTGCACGTTTGTTGAATATCACTGACCTCTAACGCCACATCCTCCAATCATATCATACGTATTGCACGTTTGTTGAATATCACTGACCTCTAACGCCCCATCCTCCAATCATATCATACGTATTGCACGTTTGTTGAATATCACTGACCTCTAACGTTCCATCCTCCAATCATATCACACGTATTGCACGTATGTTGACACATTATTCAAGTGATCAACAGCGACTCACGTGATCCGAAAAGTTTATCTAATGTTTGCAAATTTGACTGATGTAGTTTAATGAAATACTCATATAATTACAGTGAAGGACATAAACCTATGGTCGTTTTAAAAATGTATATTTTTATAAATTAAAATGGATGTTAGAATTCAAATTGACCAACCCAGATATGGTAGTGTAACATCATCGTTAGTTCTAATCAATATTATAAATGAGATAATTCAACATTATTCAATCAGCAAGTGCCATATTTTGAATATGTGGGCGGTCGCAGTTGGTAAGGGTTCAAGGGCAAGCTCTTGAGCCAATGACTATTTTAATTGAATTTGTTTATCTACAAAGTGTTGTGCCTTCCATTGTAATATCAACGAAAATCTTGTATTTGTTTTGTTCCAGAGCGTCCAACATGCGTGGTAAAAGGCGATCCCCATCATACAACCTTTGATAACGTATCTTATAACTTTTCTGGTCATTGTGCTTATACCATGGTTGAAGACGCTGTGCATAATCCGCCACTCTTTTCTGTCACTGCAGAAAATATGTTCCAGTCAGGAGGTCGGTATAGTCTACAGTTGTGTGTTACATACAGTGAATTTCACAAACCCATGATTTATGTATATAGAGGAAAATCTATAAACTCACCACTTGAACAGTGAACTCCATAAATCTATCATTAGAATGAAATCCATAGGTTTACTACATATACTCCATTAGGCCAAGATTTGTGCAGTGGAATATCTAAACAATTCATTTGATACATATTTTTCTGAAATTATGTTATACATCGAGTATCGTGATACATCGTGGCGTAATTCCATCTTATTGCGTGATGCGAATTCTAAATATGAAAAGATCGCGCTAATTTTCAAGATGACGGAGGATTTTGAAAGAAAAGAAAGTACAAGATGAATAAGTTTTCACCATTTTGCTGTTACGTGTATACTACAAAGTATTCACTCTACTACACGACGGTCATTACTTCTGTACAGTATTCGTGTATACTACAAAGTATTCACTCCACTACACGACGGTCATTACTTCCGTACAGTATTCGTGCATACTACAAAGTATTCACTCCACTACACGACGGTCATTAC